ACTGCAACTTGATTTCAAAAATCTATTTCCCGATATTTGTCTTTTACAAACAAGTTTCTCTCATGAAATACAATGAGAAAAAAAAATTCCTATAGTTATTATGGTAGATTAGGTTTTTGTTCAAGAAAACTTCATTCCTTCCATCAGAGCACTTTGGAAGGAGTAAACCTTGTAGAAAATCAATGATAAGTTTGGCCAAGTGACTTGTTTTCACAATCTAATGTGAGTAGGAAGGTGATAGCTTATGAGTTCAGAGTCCAGGCATTAAGAAGCACATTTCTCCTAGCTGCTAATCTCTGCTATAAGATGTCATGTATATCAGGTAGCTCCTCTTCTAAGAATAAAATATGTCCAAAAGATCTGAGCTGAATCTGTAGTTGTAGTCTGGATCCAAGCCCATGCATGCCAAGCCTTGATCAACTAAAACCCAGCCAAAGCAGAAACTGGTGAATGAGAAGTAAATGCTTATTTCACAATATAATTGTAATCTTGGGTTGTTTGAGCACAATGTCAGCAAATCGTTACAGCTAGCATTTACATATTATATGAATTTGATTTTGAATATTCATATAATTTCTCAATCGGAGTATGAGAAATCAGTACAGAAAGTGTAAAGAATATGTGTAGGGGCACCTGGGTGGCTAAATCAGTTAAGCGTCTGCTTTTCACTCAGGTCATGATCCCAGGCCAGGGTCCGGGGATTGAGTGCTGCACCCTCCCATCTTGCTCTTTACAGTGGCAGCTTTGCTTCAGAGAGCAGATGTGGCTTCCCAGTGATCTCTCCCTTGGGTACTCTCCTTTAATCCTAAGAAATTCTTTATGATTTTCTTCATTTTAGTAGCCTTTCCTTCGAGTAGGCTTTCCGTTACAAATGGATAATAATGGTTGACATCAATCTTCCTCTGGTTTCTGTTCCTGAGTCAATTCTCGTGTGTAATCTTGCCACCCAGGGTCGTCAACCCTTATTTGCAGCTCTTTATTTGCAACCTTTATTTGCAGGATAAATCAATTCACTTGGTAATATGAGTGGATTGATGACCTTATTGAAGATTTCACAATAACATTGCTTCATATTATAATTTGTACTTTTTTATTTAACATATAACAAAAGCTTAAGAAATGTATAATATGTACCTGAGTGTATATTTTTTACATTAATAAAATTAAGATGGAAAAACAGTTCTTTGACACCAAGGGGGAAACCTCAGGTACACTTTGGGCTTTGCATGATTATGATGCAACCTGCAGGTTCCTCTTTGGTAACAAATGAACCATTCTAGTGAATGATGTTGATAGCGGGCAAGGCCACACATGTGTGTGTATGGGGACAATGGAGGATACCTCTATACCTTCTTCTCAATTACGTTGTGAACTGAAATTGTTCTAAAAAAAGTATCTGAAAAATATCTAGGAAAATTGCATGCCTTTTGAAGAAATGAGAAATATCTTCTTTATAGATGGTGAAATATAGTTATACCAAAATTAGGTAACTAAAATGCCTAATGCTTACAAACATATATTTTTAGATCTGAACAGTTTTCAAAAGATCTCATGTTTGAGTCAAAGTTGAAAAATGGACAGTTCTTGTCAGTTGTTGAAAAAACTGATGACCTGAAATGCAGAGAATTATATCTTATTACTCTTAAAAAATATAAATCACAATATTTTGAACAATAAACAGTTCATGTAAAGTAATAGTTGTACATCTGAACCTGAGTTTATCCCATATTATCCTGCTATGGAAATACTTTAACAATTGTGTTACAGAATTGTTCACATACTGTACTTATTCTTTGTAAGATTAGTCCTCTTAAGGCATAAAATACAAAAGTTGTCAAGAAACTTACAGTTTAGGAAAGAAGGCAGAGTCTTTTGGACACAGAGATAGATTAATATTGATATTCTGGGAAATTCTACTAATCCATGAAGAATGAATGAGGAAGCCGAACAAACACTATGAGAAAACAATTTTTTAGAAGTCAAATAAAAGCTCTTATTTGAATTTGTAATAACCATAGTTATTTTTTCTATAGATTCTATAGAATCTTTCACATTTTAATATAGTGTTATACACTGAACATACTATAAAAATATCTTAGTACGAGTAAATGAAGAGGAAAAACTTACAAAGACAACAATTGCAATGTTCTGATAATTTATCAAAGGTTAATAACACTTTATGAAATATCCATTATTGAAAAACTCCTGGAGATTTTTGTGAAAAGGAGCACGTCTGTAGTTTTCTAGCCCAGAACTGCTCCCATGCCTCTGCACCTGCCCATCGTAGCTCAGTGATCCAGAAGCTTGTATTTTCCTAATTTGGAGAAGCTGCAGAAAGCAATGGTGCTGGTGCCACAGGGGAGACTCGATCAGCAGTGGGGAAGGGAATGAAAAAGTCCACAGACTTTTCAGCTCAGAGTGATGATTTTGCTTGTTAATGAATGAGGAAAAGCCATATGTTTACTAGTTAGAGGTTGTGGTTTTCTGTCAAGCACTGTGACCCTCATAAATACAATGGCAAGATATTGTTAGTGAGAGTACAACAGAAGAGTTGACATGAACTTTCTATATACTCCTGACTGATGGAAAACATTATGCACACATGGAGAGGAGACCAAGATGAGCCAGCAGAAAGTGAAAGCAGAAGGAGACTTGAGAACTGATATTTAAGTTGTGAGCACTTCCCTCTCACACTCATACACACACATATGCACACACACACACACACACATCACACCACATGGCAGAAGGTACAAGCCCTACTGACTTGCAGTCTTTGAACACAGTTTTTAAAAAACTTGTGGGTTTCATTTAAGCTACAAAATTACCAGGGCATGTAGGCTAAAAAATAAAAATAAAGAATAAGAATTTGGAAACAGTGAACAAAAATATCAGCAGGCAGATTATAGGGGAGAAGATCCTTCAGTATAGTGCATGCAACTTACAAAAAACATACATCTAAGAATATGAAACAGACTGCGTGTTATTTACACTGTATTACCAAAAATATCTATCTAAAAAAAACAAAAACAAAATACAGAACATGAAAAGTCACTGACAAATGTCTTCTATGCTAAGTGAAAGCATAGGTCAATATAAACTTCTACTGAGATAAGGTGTTACGTTAATTAGAAGACAGTATTTTAGAGTACTGTTTATAAATATACGGAAATTATATGGGGCACCTGGATGGCTCAGTTGGTTAAACTTCTGCCTTTGTCTCAAGTCATGACTCCAGGGTCCTGAGATCAAGCCCCACATTGGGCTCCCTGTTTAGTGGGGAGACATTTTTCCCTATGCCCTTCCTCCCTGCTCATGCTTGTGCTTCTCTGTCTTTCAATCTCTCTGAAATAAATAAATTAAATCTTAAAAATCCAGATGGTGGGTATTAGAGAGGGCACGGATTACATGGAGCACAGGGTGTGGTGCAAAAACAATGAATACTGTTATGCTGAAAAGAAATTTTAAAAAAGTCAAAAAATTATATGGAAATGATAAAGAAAACAGTTCAGATAAGTAAATGAACATATAATGGCAGGAATACAGCAAATAGGAAATATCAATAGAGAGAAAAAACTATATGAATAAGCCACAGATAAATTCTTATTTTATCATTATACACATGAATGAAAATTCACTTCATTGGCTCTCCAGAAAATTGGAGATCCAGTAGAAAAAATATATGAAATTGAGGAAGTAATAATAAACTTTGTCTCATGAATGAGAAAAAAAAGCAGAAAATTAACAGAGTACATTAAACTAAAGAGCACTTGCACAACAAAGGAAAGAACAAAGAAGTTGAAAAATATTTGGAAGAACAATGTACAGAACAGGAGAAAATTATAAACCCTATATCAGATAAGGGACTGATATTCAAAATGTATACATATCACAAACAAGGAAATAAAAATAAAGAAAATAATACAATTCAGAAATGGGCACAGGGCCTGAGTAACATTTTTCTGGAGACATAGAAATGGCCAATAGGTACAAGAAAGAAAACCACTAATCGTCAGGGAAAGGCAAATCAAAATCACAATAAAATACCAACTCTCATCTGTTAGAATTGCTTTTTCCAAAAACACAAGAGAATAATAGTGAGGATCTGAAGAAAAGGAAATCCTTTGGAAGAAATATAAATTGGTGCTGCCACAATGGAAAAGAGTACAGTGTTTTTTCAAGCAATTACAAATAAAAATATCATGTTATTCAGTGATGGCACTCCTACATATATATCAGATAAGGGATACACATCAGGTGGAAAAAGAAAACAAGATAAACATAGAGGGGCACCTGGGTGGCTCAGTGGGTTAAAGCCTCTGCCTTCGGCTCAGGTCATGATCTCAGGGTCCTGGGATCGAGCCCCACATCGGGCTCTCTGCTCAGCAGTGAAGCCTGCTTCCTCCTCTCTCTGCCTGCCTCTCTGCCTACCTATGATCTCTCTCTCTCTGTCAAATACATAAATAAAATCTTTTAAAAAATAAAAAAGACATAAACATAGAATGAATAGCAAAATGGGAGACCTAAATCCAACTATCAAAACAATACATTCATGCTAATTCAGTAAATATTCCAATCAAAAGATATAAATTATCGGGGCACCTGGGTGGCTCAGTGGGTTAAAGCCTCTGGGTTCAGCTCAGGTCATGATCCCAGGGTCCTGGGATCAAGTCCCGCATCAGGCTCTCTGCTCAGCGGGGAGCCTGCTTCCCCCTTCTCTCTCTCTGCCTGCCTCTCTGCCTACTTGTGATCTCTGTCTGTCAAATAAATAAATAAAATCTAAAGAAAAGAGAAAAAAAAAGAAAAGAAACAGCAAGGAGTATGGACTATTTACAACTTCATGCAACTACGGATGAAAGGCACAAGTTTAGTTTCCCCTGAAAATGCCAAAAATAAAATATGCATACTGTATTATTCTACTTATGTAAATGTTTGTAAATGGAGGTGAAAATATGAAAGGGGCATTTTGCAGTGCTGGTAATATTCATTTTTTTTCCTTCTTATGATGGCGACACTTGAAAATTCAGCCAGCTGTTGGCATGTATCGCATGTGCAACCACCTGTATGTACATTATACCACAGTAAAATTAACATAACAGAATACCATGAAAATACGTAAATATGTTTAAACTAGACATAAAATTGAAAACATCCTACCAAATACAACTTGGGAAAACCAAAACACAAAAAGAAATAAAAATATCAGAAGTGTCTTAACCTCTAATATAATTTAATCTCTAATTCAGAAACTCTTCATACTCAGTTACAGAATATTTCGATGCTTATGAGGAAAGAAAGATGCAATGTCAATTAAAAACCAAAAAGAAAATCTTACAAGGTAGAAAAAAGGGTCTAATAAAGTGTGTGTTTTGTGCATTTTCTTGGAATACTAAAAAAAGGAAATTACATGTCAATGTCAATCTAAACTGATTCTGATAATATATAAAAATAATGAACTTCTGATAATATATAAAAATAATGAACTACAAGATAAGTAGATTTATTGAAGAAATATCAATTGGATTTACATTTGCAATTCCATTAATGTAATCTGTCATATTAGCAGAGTAAAGAAGGTCAAAAGATGTGATTTCTCTTATGCAGAAGATAAAACTAATTTTCATTTTTAATTAAAAAGACATTTAGAGATATGAATACATTAATAGTAGGAGATCTTAACACGCATCTCTCAGAAATAGACAGATCATTGAAGCAGAAAATCAATAAAGAAACAAGAGCATTGAATGACACATTGGACCAGATGGACCTCATAGATATATACAGAACATTCCACCCTAAAACAACAGAATACTCATTCTTCTCAAGTGCACATGGAACATTCTCAAGAATAGACCACATACTGGGTCACAAATCAGGACTCAACAGATACCAAAAGACTGAGATTATTCCCTGCATATTCTCAGATCACAATGCTTTGAAACTGGAGCTCAATCACAAGAAGTTCAGAAGGAACTCAAACACCTGGAAGCTAAAGACCACCTTGCTTAAGAATGCTTGGATCAACCAGGAGATCAAAGAAGAACTGAAACAATTCATGGAAACCAATGAGAATGAAGACACTTCGGTCAAAAACCTATGGGATACAGCAAAGGCGGTCCTAAGGGGGATATACATAGCCAGCCAAGCCTCCCTCAAAAAAATTGAAAAATGCAGAACACAGCAGCTGTCTCTACATCTTAAAGAACTGGTGAATCAACAACAAATCAAACCAACTCCACACATAAGAAGGGAAATAATCAAGATCAGAGCAGAGATCAATGAGGTAGAAACCAGAAATACAGTAGAACGTATTCAATGAAACTAGAAGCTGGTTTTTTGAAAGAATCAATAAGATCGATAAACCATTGGCCACACTAATCCAAAAGAAAAGAGAGAAAGCCCAAATTAATAAAATTGTGAATGAAAAGGGAGAGATCACAACTAACACCAAGGAAGTAGAAACAATCATCAGAAGTTATTATCAACAGTTATATTCCAATAAGCTAAGCAACCTAGATGAAATGGATGCATTCCTGGAAAACTGTAAACTCCCAAAATTGAACCAGGAAGAAATCGACAACCTGAATAGACCGATATCTAGTAACGAGATTGAAGCAGTGATCAAAAACCTCCCAAAAAACAAGAGCCCAGGACCTGACAGATTCCCTGGGGAATTCTACCAAACTTTCAAAGAAGAAAGAACACCTATTCTCCTGAAGCTGTTTCAAAAAACTGAAGCAGAAGGAAAACTTCCAGACTCTTTCTATGAAGCCAGCATTACCCTGATCCCCAAACCAGGCAAAGACCCTACCAAAAAGGAGAATTTCAGACCAATATCACTGATGAATATGGATGCTAAGATTCTCAACAAGATCCTAGCAAACAGGATCCAACAGCACATTAAAAAGATTATCCACCATGACCAGGTGGGATTCATCCCTGGGCTACAAGGATGGTTCAACATTCACAAATCAATCATTGTGATAGAACAAAAAATAGAAGAAGAAAAGATAGATAGATAGATAGAAGAAAAGATAGAAGAAAAGAGAGAAGAACCACATGGTCCTCTCAATTGATGCAGAAAAAGCATTTGACAAAATCCAGCATCCGTTCCTGATTAAAATGCTTCAAAGTATAGGGATAGAGGGAACATTCCTGAACTTCATCAAATCTATCTATGAAAAACCCATAGCAAATATCATCCTCAATGGGAAAAAGCTTGCAGCCTTCCCGTTGAGATCAGGAACACGACAAGGATGCCCACTCTCACCACTCTTGTTCAACATAGTATTAGAAGTCCTAGCAACAGGAATCAGACAACAAAGAGAAATAAAAGGTATCCAAATTGGCAATGAAGAAGTCAAACTCTCTCTCTTTGCAGATGACATGATTCTTTACATGGAAAACCCAAAAGACTCCACCCCCAAACTGCTAGAACTCATACAGCAATTCAGTAACGTGGCAGGATACAAAGTCAATGTACAGAAATCAGTGGCTTTCTTATACACTAACAATGAAAATACAGAAAGGGAAATTAGAGAATCGATTTCATTTACTATAGCACCAAGAACCATAAGATACCTGGGAATAAACCTAACCAAAGAGATAAAGGATCTATACTCGAGGAACTACAGAACACTCATGAAAGAAATTGAAGAAGACACAAAAAGATGGAAGACCATTCCATGCTCTTGGATCGGAAGAATAAACATTGTTAAAATGTCTATACTGCCTAGAGCAATCTATACTTTTAATGCCATTCCAATCAAAATTCCACCGGTATTCTTCAAAGAGCTGGAGCAAATAATCCAAAAATTTGTATGGAACCAGAAGAGGCCCCGAATCGCTAAGGAAATGTTGAAAAACAAAAATAAAACTGGGGGCATCACGTTACCTGATTTCAAGCTTTACTACAAAGCTGTGATCACCAAGACAGCATGGTACTGGCATAAAAACAGACACATAGACCAGTGGAACAGAGTAGAGAGCCCAGATATGGACCCTCAACTCTATGGTCAGTTAATCTTCGACAAAACAGGAAAAAATATACAGTGGAAAAAAGACAGTCTCTTCAATGAATGGTGCTGGGAAAACTGGGTAGCTATATGTAGAAGAATGAAACTCGACCATTCTCTTACACCGTACACAAAGATAACCTCAAAATGGATAAAAGACCTCAACGTGAGACAGGAATCCATCAGAACCCTAGAGGAGAACATAGGCAGTAATCTCTTCGATATCAGCCACAGCAACTTCTTTCAAGATATGTCTCCAAAGGCAAAGGAAACAAAAGCCAAAATAAACTTTTGGGACTTCATCAAAATCAAAAGCTTCTGCACAGCAAAGAAAACAGTCAAGAAAACAAAGAGGCAACCCACGGAATGGGAGAAGATATTTGCAAATGACAGTACAGACAAAAGGTTGATATCCAGGATCTATAAAGAACTCCTCAAACTCAACACACACAAAACAGATAATCATATCAAAAAATGGGCAGAAGATATGAACAGACACTTCTCCAATGAAGACATACAAATGGCTATCAGACACATGAAAAAATGTTCATCATCACTAGCCATCAGGGAGATTCAAATTAAAACCACATTGAGATACCACCTTACACCAGTTAGAATGGCCAAAATTAGCAAGACAGGAAACAACATGTGTTGGAGGGGATGTGGAGAAAGGGGAACACTCTTCCACTGTTGGTGGGAATGCAAGTTGGTGCAGCCTCTTTAGAGAACAGTGTGGAGATTCCTCAAGAAATTAAAAATAGAACTTCCCTATGACCCTGCAATTGCACTACTGGGTATTTACCCCAAAGATACAGATGGAGTGAAAAGAAGGGCCATCTGTACCCCAATGTTTATAGCAGCAATGGCCATGGTCGCCAAACTGTGGAAAGAACCAAGATGCCCTTCAACGGATGAATGGATAAGGAAGATGTGGTCCATATACACTATGGAGTATTATGCCTCCATCAGAAAGGATGAATACCCAACTTTTGTAGCAACATGGACGGGACTGGAAGAGATTATGCTGAGTGAAATAAGTCAAGCAGACAGAGTCAATTATCATACGGTTTCACTTATTTGTGGAGCATAACAAATAGCATGGAGGACATGGGGAGTTAGGAGAAGGCATTTGGGGGAAATTGGAAGGGGAGGTGAACAATGAGAGACTATGGACTCTGAAAAACAATCTAAAGGGTTTGAAGAGGTGGGGGGGTGGGAAGTTGAGGGAACCAGGTGGTGGGTATTAGAGAGGGCACGGACTGCATGGAGCACTGGTTGTGGTACAAAAACAATGAATACTGTTATGCTGAAAATAAAAAAAAAATAAAATAAAAGACATTTAGAATGACAGAAATAAAAAAGAAAATGTCAATGCAAAGATCTAGAATAGATATGATAACTCTGAAAAAGAACTAATATAAAGCCACTGTTTATAAAAGGACAATTTTTAAAGTATGGATTGAGAAAAATATACACAAGATCAAAGAACCCGAGAAGGAAGTGCAAAGTTCATATCCACACATATATGGAATGCAGATTTCGGCAATGATACAAAATCATTTCTTGGAGAAAGTATGGTATTACAATAAATGTTGAGGAAGCAATCAGTTTCAAATGGAATTAATAATAAATACTTCATACCATATACAAAAATGTTAAAAGATGATCATCTGTAAGTGCAAATGATAAAATTTCAAGAAGATGTATTAGGAAAAAATCTGACAAGTTGGGCAGAGATTTCTCAGAGAGAAACAAAACATGATCCATAAAAGAACAAACTGATGAAGTGTAGTTCCTTAAGATAATGTCTGTGCTTTGAAGTAAAGGAAAGACAAGTCATAGACTGAGAGGAAATATTTACAAATAATACATCTACTAAAAAACTTGCTGCCAAGATACATAAAGAATTCTCAAAATATGATAACAAAAAGTAAAAATATAACAAAAATATTTCAAGATACTTCACCAAAAAGCATTTATTGATGGGAAATAAATACAGAGAAAGTTGCTCAACACTATCAGTCTTAGGAACATTCACATTAGAACTACTACACATCAGAATTCTTATTCCAGAAAGAGAGGATATGCTACTGTTCCCTACTTCCTCCAGGAAATACAGCTAAAACACCTGGATATTATACACAAAACAACATAACATTCAAACAGGTGATGAGAAAGCTGACAGAACTGCTCCCTCTAACCCCAAGAAATGACATGGTGGTCAGCGCCCTGAATATTCTCTTTTCCTCACATATCCCAGACTGGTGAGCAAACCACAGACATCAACGTGCACAAACAAAAGGCCCCAAAATGTATTTTTCTCTCTAGTCAACATAATAGAAAAAAGGCATGCTAGAAAGACCCAAACAAACAAACCAACAAAAAAATGTAGACACCAATCAACCACTGACTATCCAAGGGGCACATCACTCAGGAATGCAGGGGAAATCAAGACATTCTGAGATAAAGGAAAACTAAGAAAAGTGTCACCACCACACCCACTCTGAAAGAACTGCTAAAGGGAATTATCCAAACAGAAATTAAATGGTAACAGAAGGAATCTTGCAAGGATCATCAAGAAGAAAGGGAAAACAAAAGTATAAAACTGTCATTAGGTCTTAGGGACTTTGCTTCAACTCTAGCGTCTAAATTGTTTGATATTTGAATGAAAATCATCAGTTGAAACAAAGTGATAACTTTCACATAATTCTCAATGTAAGTAGAGAAACATTTAAAACAAAGTAGAAATGAGACAAAGTAAAGGGACATCAAGTGAAGGGAAAGCTCTACATTTTACTCAAAGTGCTGTGGGTTGTGACAGAATGTGTAGACTGATATATGTGTTTATAATTATCTATATAAAGATATATGCTATCTACATAGCTTATATGAAGCAGATTAGAACACATGTGGACATGTATATGACTATATATGTAAAAAGTTATTTATGAAGAAAAGATCGACTTTGCTTTACATTATGCTCCATCAATTAGGTTCATGATGTAGAAAACTATAACCTTCACATTTATCTCACTGCATTGCAAATACAACATCACCAAAAATAAATTCCAATTGCATCAGAAACTCTAATTAAAGTGAAAAAGTAATAAATAAAGAAAAAAGATAAAAGTAATATGGAAAATTATATTTATGAACTTTGACTAACTTCTGAAATAGGTTCAAAATAATCACTAACACCTAAATGATATATTGGACCATGGTAATACTAAAATTCTGATCATTAAAGGACTCTAATAGGGGAGTAAAAATGCAATATAGAGCTATTTCCATCTTGTAAACTCAAAAAAGAGCTCATATTTAAAACATGGTAAGGACTTCCAAGAAAACCAAAGAAAACACCAACTAGGAGAAAAAAGCAAGGGACACACTCGAGTCCTTCTTACCAAAGAGAATATCCTAATAACTCACAGTCCAGAAAAATGATACTGTTCTATAACCACCAGAACTTTTTGTCATAATTTTTCTCAGACCTCTGAATTTTGAATCAAGGGAATATTTTGTACAATCTATTTATACAATACATTAGATAAATGTAGGGATAATGTAATATATTGAAAGATACACATATCTATGACTGGGCAATTTCATACTAATGCTTCGAAAAAATGTATAATAATCATATATAAATACAATTATAATGTTACATTTACGCATTGCTATTTTGACAAATGCACTATTTACATTTCATAAATATACTATATATTATGTAGTTATGTATAATAAGTTGTTATAAATACAATACATGGAAAACACATAGAAAAAGCCTTTCATAAAATAATTATTTATAATAGCCACATATTAAAAAGGAAGTAAATTTCTGAAAATTGATTTTAAAATGTCCTTTTCATATAAGACAGCAGCAGTGAAAATTCACAAACTATAGACAAATGCAGTAATAAAGATGGATTACAAATATCATACGAGAGTAAAAGGAGACACGTATAATAATGCATACTGCATGATTCCATCGATATAAATTCCAAAAATAAGCAAAGATATTTCACAGTATCAAAACTGGCAGGGCTAATAGAGGCTCTAAATTTCTTGCTCATGATCTGATTTGTAATTATGTTCTATTTTGTGATGAATATGCACAATCATGTAGTTTTCTTTTTTTCTTAAAGATTTCTTTATTTATTTGATAGAGAGGGGGAGAGAGAGGAAGAGACATCACAAGTAGGCAGAGAGGCAGGGAGAGAGGAGGGGGAAGCAGGCTCCCCACCCACCAGAGAGCCCGATGTGGGGCTCAATCCCAGAACCCTGAGATCATGACCAGAACCGAAGGCAGAGGCTTAACCCACAGAGCCACATTGATGTATTGTTATTTTGATAAATGCATTATTTACATTTCATAAATATACTATATACTATGTAGTTATGTATAATAAGTTATTATAAATACAATACATGGAAAACACATAGAAAAAGCCTTTCATAAAATAATTATTCATGATACCCACATACTAAAAAGTATTTAAGTTTCTGAGAAGAGCTTTTAAAATGTCCTATTCATATAAGACAACAGCAGTGAAAATTCACAAACTATAGACAAATGGAATAATATAGATGGATCACAAATATCATACAAGAACAAAAGGAGACACACATAATAATGCATACTGCATGATTCCATCAATATAAACTCCAAAAATAAGAAAGACATTTCACAGTATTAACATTGGCAGGGCTAATAGAGGCTCTAAACTTCTCGCTCATGATCTGATGTGTAATTATATTCTATTTTGTGATGAATGTGCCCTGTCATATAGTTTTCTTTTTTAAAGATTTTATTTATTTATCTGACAAGGAGATCACAAGTAGGCACAGAGGAAGGCAGAGAGAGATGGGGAAGAAGGCTCCCTGCTGAGCAGAGAACCTGATGTGGGGCTCAATCCCAGGATCTTGAGATCATGACCCAAGCCAAAGGCAGAGGCTTAACCCACTGAGCCATCCTGGTGCCCCAATCATATAGTTTTCTTGATGTGTGGTAAAAAATGTAGTAAGGTTATTTCAGGCAAAAGAGTATGTATAGATATGGCTTTCTATGAAAAGCAAGAACTAGAAATTATTAAATGTACATTAAAGGTATAAAAATAGTAAAATATCATGGAGTCAAACTATGGAATAGTAACAGACTTTAAAATAAATAAACAAGCAATATGTATGACTATATGGATGAGATCTACAAATGTAATATTAAATGATAAGCTTTTAATAAAAGCTGCAAACATTTGAAACCTCACCATTTCCTCTTCATCCTCTATGGAAAGCAGGGTAGAGTTCTTAGAAGCACAGGATAACTGACTCTCATTCCATGGTTTTCTTTCAGTGCTAATGTAGTAGCAAGTTTCAGAATATGTAATCCACTCTTTTGGACAGTGATCACAATGATAAGCTAAAGAAAGATTATGAGATATTATCCAAAAGGCTTTGAATATTAAAACTTGCAAGTTTGCAAGTTACATATGTATACACAAATGGGTATACAACACACCACTTTACCTTCACAAGCGGGCAAAAATAAAACAAAAACACATGCACACTGCCAGAAGAGTCAGGCTTTCATCCCTTACTTATGTGCCAGTATAAAACAAACAAACAAAAATGTCCATCTTTACATGTACTTTGAGTCCCTGAACAAAACAACTTATTTGGGATTATATAATGGTTTATATTATATCATGTTATAGCAGGAGGAAATTTGAGGCCATTGGTTAACAATGGTGTAGTAATTTTATTTTATTTTAAGATCTATTTATTTATTTCACAGATTGAGAGAGAGAGAGAGAGAGAGAGAGAGAAATGAACCGGAGGGCAGAGGGAGAGGGAAAGAATATCTCAAACAGACTCTGCACTGAGCATGGAGCTGACTGGGGGCTCAGTCCCAGGACCCTGAGTTCATAACCTGAGACAAAACCCAGAGTCAGACACTTCACTCACTGAGCCATCCAGGTACCTCATGTATGCTGATTTTATTTTATTTTATTTTTTAAGATTTTATTTATTTATTTGACAGAGAGAGAGATCATAAATAGGCAGAGAGTCAGGCAGAGAGAGAGGGGGAAGCAGGCTCTCCCCTCAGCAGGGATGCTGAGGCAGATGCAGGGCTTGATCCCAGAACCCTGAGACCATGACCCTAGCCGAAGGCAGTGGCTTAATCCACTGAGCCACCCAGGCACCCCTGTATGCTGATTTTAAATTAGTATTTCCGCATACTGTTGTATAAGAAGTAATACTCTCCTATACTCATCAATTATGAAAATTTACTATGCAATTTTCTAATTCATTTTCCCCAAAAAACATCTATTATCATATTTATCTAGCTTAAGAATCAGACAAAATATAAACTATCCTAATATCAGAGTTTTGGAAATGATTTTCTACCTTTCTGGGTCGTTATTTCCACAGACGCCTTGTTCTGCACTGGTTCTGTAGTAACTAGAAAAATTAAAACAATGCTCATAAAACTTAATATTAAACTAAATAAATCATTATGATTTGAGTTTCTTAGTTTGAAGTTTGGTATATTATTTAGAATGGGAAATCTCTGTGATAAAATTGATTTTACCCATAAAAATTAAATAAAATGGTGAACGTGTGGGAGAAGACAATTCAAAAGTTTAAAGAATCAAACCTCACAGTCTTTGCAGTGTTTGGTTTAACCAGTCTCAAGAACTAACTAGTATATCTCCATAAAGTCTCTGCCATAACTTCTATTTCAGGTATGAAATCTGAATATATGTGTAATACGCTTTATATAGATTTATTCTGTTATTTCTACTTTTGACAGATTCAGAGTAACCATTCCACACTTAGAGTATGCATGCATTAAAATGAGGTAATACAATTCCATAATATTGTGCAACATTTCGAGCACTGATAATCATTAAAGTGAAAAATTCCCTTGTCATCATTGAAACACTTACAGTGAATAACGGCTGTTGTGACCACAGTGGACATCAAGACAAGGCAGATAATTCCCAGGATCCCAGCAATGAGCTTCCCTGGACATGAAGGTAAATAGTTGGAAGAGAAATGAAAATGCTCAGAAAATATGGATGAAAAACAATCATTTAGGAAATTTACATACAAGAGAACCTACAAAGCACAGGGAATCACATATAAAAATTTGGACCCCAAACTTGTATCGGTCATTGTAATTGTCTCTCAGAATATACCATTACATTTGCAATAAATATATTACCCCCATGAGATTGGGTTAAGATCACGAATTATAACACTTGAACAAGGTTCATCCTCAGATTTCAATTAGAATACCATATTCCAGCTCCAAGTTCTGATCCACACAAATGAAAAATATGAGATCATCCCCTACTCATTCCCTGCACCCCTGCTCCCCAAGTGCACATTCTAGAGCAGTTATACTATGTCTGAATTAAGCATTTTACCTTTCCATTGGTAGTTCTTGCCATTCCCTTGAGGATCCCGAGAAGCATCTTGAAGAGTTAATTCAGCATACGTTATTTCCTGCTCAGTTCCCAAAATGCCACTTTTAGTGCCCTTAGCTTTCACTTGCTGTCTTCTTAAACCCTTAACCTGACTGAGTTCTGCATAGGTTACTCCTTGGTTATTCATCTCTGCAGCTGTGTGGTGTCAGGCACAGGGCTGAATGAGACTGTACTGAAGGACTTGATGAACAGTGGGTGGGATAGTCACAGTGGGTGGAGTGTGTGGTGAGTGGTAGTACTCATCTGCTGTTGAACAATGTAAAATCTGGTACTAATTTCCTTGGAGCTTTAAAGAAGTGCTTCATGATGAAATTAGTGGTTTTTATAATGATATTCTCTGTTTGACACAATAGAAGGAAAAGAATTCAGGAATTATATTGTCCTCATTAATGTAAGGCCAGATTCGACAGAACAGGTCAACACTACTGGAATAACTGGGTTAATATTAAAATGCTACATTAGAAAGAAAATGCTGCATCAATTTTTTTGACAAGTTTTAAATGCATTATTGGTTAAAAAAATGGAGTCCCCCAGATTAGGGAATATTAGTTTTAGCACATACAGGAATTTCCTGGAGTAAATTACTTTTATTTAAGACTCAGGTTTCTTTACTAAAATGTCATGCAGTACTATCAAGTGGTCTCTTACTTTGAGTAATTGTGGAGTTTGAAGAAATCATTAAGTTTTAAAAGAAATCTTTTATGTGCTGAAAATGTTACATGACACAATAAACTTATCTAAACCCTGAACAATAATGAAATAAAAAACACCAAAAAGTATTTTTTAAAGTACTAATTTAACGCCAGAAATTGACAACCGATTTAATAGTAAAGGTGTGAAACCATAAAACGATAAATAAAAGTGTAGTTCATTTATGGAAGAAAACTGTTGGTACAAACTTCCAGAAAAACCTAAGAATGTCAAAAGCAGTAGGGAAACTTCAGTTGTATAAGGAATTCTAATAAATGAGATAAATGTGATTTCATAATTCAGTCAATGAGCTCAAAGTCAGTGAAATATGGAATTGCTCCTGGGTCTCAAATTTACAAACTATGACCTTTACGAAGTTACTTCCTGGGGTGCCTGGGTGGCTTGTGGGTTAAAGCCTCTGCCTTCAGCTCAGGTCATGATCCCAGGGTCCTGGGATCAAGCCTCACAATGGGCTCTCTGCCTAATTACCTAATTACTTCTCCACAGGCAAGAATTTGAATACTTAAGAAATTATCCAGTGTTTTCCATATTCATTCTTGTCAGTTACCCTGAATTGTTGGAATAAATATACCAGTGTTCTCTGTGATTTGATTGCATATTAACTGTACCTCATGTGCATCCCATCCAGCATCTGTATCTTCCACTAAGTGAGGTGTCTAGGAGAGAGACAGCAGAGGAGTGACACATACCTTCTCTTGGCCAGAGAGTCCTACGTCTTCCAGGGGGAGACCAGGTTACTCTTGTAAACGGACAGTATCTGTGGTCTTCACAGACTGCCAGTCCTGTGAAAGCTCAGAGAGAGGTAATAGTGGAAAAAGTAGATTTCTCTTCAACGTGTCACTTAAAATTTGAACAGGAAATCCTTACACTTGATCTATTTTGAAGACACTTTATCTCATCACACACCCCCAGAATGTCTGAGACTTTCAGCTTATAGTGTGTCAGCTAATTGTGACATGACTCTGAGAAATGTTTATGTCCCACAAGATATTGGGGTCAGAAGCTTGACCACCCATGCTGTTAACTTGCTTTTTTTTGGTCACAAGTGCTGAGACCTGATTATCTTAGATGTGACAGTTCTACTTTTATACAGGATTCTAAATCTTGGCATTACACACTTCTTTCCATTGTACTCTCCATATGTCATTTCTATTATAATGAGAAATATCTGAAAACATCATCCCATTAACAACAGGAATTTAGAGATATTTATCTCCAGCTATTTTGAACGTGCATTGTCAGATTCTTTCTATACATCTGTTGAAAGCTTCATATGGTACTTATACTTTTTTATGAATATGGTGTATCACACTGTTTTCTTTGTGAATATTGACCAACCCTTGCCGCCAAAAATTAAATCCCACTTGATTCTTTGAATTGTTGGATTTGATTTGTTAATATTTTGCTGAGAATATTCGCACCCATGTTCATCAGTAATATTGGCCTGCAGTCCTCTTTTATAGTGGAGTCTTTGTCTGGTTTTGCGATTAGGCTAATGCTGGCCTCATAGAATGAATTCGGAGGTTTTCCTTCCATTTCTATTTGTTTGGAATTTTTTGAGGAGAATAGGTATTAATTCTTCTTTAAATGTTTGGCAGAATGCCCTTGGGAACATCTGGCCCTGGAGTTCTGTTTGTTGGGAGATTTTTAATGACTGATTCGATTTCTTTGCTGGTTTTCCATGTGCTCAAGTTTTCCATTTCTTCCTGTTTTGGTTTTGGTAGTTCATGTTTCTAGGAATTTATCCATTTCTTCCAGGTTGTCCCCATTTGTTGGTTTAAATATTCTTTAATACTATTCTCTTAGGGCACCTGGGTAGCTCAGTCATTAAGTGTCTGCCTTTGGCTCAAGTCATGATCCCAGGGTCTTGCATTGGGCTCCTTGCTTAGTGGGGAACCTGCTTCTCTCTTTGCCTTTGTCTGCCACACTGCCTGCCTGTGCTCTCTCTCTCTTCAACAAATAAATAAATAAAATCTTAAGTAAAACAATATTCTCTTATAATTGTATTTCTGTTGTGTTGGTAGTGAAAAAAATCTAGCCCATTTTATTTAAGCACAGATACACATATAGCACACGAAGAGAGACATAACATATTCTTGGTTTTGAATTTTCATGGCAATAATGTGTCTGTAAAGACTCCTTGGCGGGTTGAGTTTGGGGGAGATAATGAAGTAAAGATTGAAAAATGCTGTATTATAAAGTAATATGCATGAATTGAAAAGATCAGATCTCCCAGGTTTTTGATAGGTAAGTCTGTAACTTCTTTTTCAAGAAGCAGGGACAGATGAGTAGCATGCTCTGACTACATTATAGTAGTCTCAACTGGTCAGATAAAAAGAAATTTAGGGGCGCCCTGGTGGCTCAGTGGGTTAAAGTCTCTGCCTTCAGCTCAGGTCATGATCCCAGGATCCTGGGATCTAGCCCAGGGCTCTCTGCTCCGTGGGGAGCCTGCATCCTCCTCTGTCTCTGCCTACCTCTCTGTCTACTTGTGATCTCTGTCAAATAAATTTAAAAAATTTTTTAAAAAGAAATGTAAAAATTAAGAACAAAAACAGGGAGACTCAAAATACTACAGGGATGTGGTGGCTTGAGCTAAGGTGAAAGGGACAATGGCGATGAGAGACTGGACTCTGGAATACTTTGAAGTCAGTGTTAAGAAGCCTCTAATGTGAGAATGTGGCCTGAGAAAGAAGGAACGGGGACATGGATGAAGCATGTGCTTTACCTTGACTATCTGAAAACAGACTGATTCTGTTTGCATTCAATGATCTAGAAAGGATTATACATGAAGCAGGTGTGATTAGGAGTCTGTGTCTGGATTGGACATCTGAAGAGTGAATTTTTCATGAAACACACAAATGGAAGAGTTGACTAAGGGCTCAGAGATCAATGTCCTAAGGTGAATGGTGAGATATGGGCAAGAAAGTATAAAACTGGGCTTTTCAGCTTGCATGTGCTGCTTCAAACGAAGTAACAGAGATTTTTCACCCAGGATCTTAAAGTGGATGTAAATAAGAGGAAGTTCTAGGATAAGCTCTGAGACTCTCTCATGTAAAGAGGAAGAGGAGAAGAGGTGAAACCACCTCTTGTTTGCTGACAAGACCAAAAGTGCAATGAGGAGATAGGAGTCAAGTCCATGAAACTATGTTGCCATGGATACCAAGTGAAAAAGTGTTTCCAGGAGGAATGAATGATCCACTCTGTTAAATGCTGCTGCTAATCAAGTAAGATGAGATTTTGTTATTTTGTGTACAGAATAGGGAATGGTTCCAGTGAGCTGTTGGGGCAAAAATCCAATTTGTCATAGATTCAGCAGAAGATGGAAAGATGGGAATTAGAAATAGTTTTACTATGATGCAGCATGGTGTTCGTTAAGGGTATCTTTTCCAAAAATGACGAACTGTGTTTCTTGAATGGGATGATCCAGTGGCCAGTCCTGATACCATCACATATGCTCTCTTCCAATATGGCTTATCTGCATTCTCCCAATGATTCTGATCCTCTCTGCAAATGTTATCCCTCATGCCTGAATAGCTTTTCTCCCTCCTTTTCTCTTGTCTTCAAGTGTTCTTTCATTTCACTTACATACTCCCTAATCTTTTCTAACTTGTTCTTTAATCACTCCATGGATTATTCATTTAAATGTTTTTGTTTTCATTTCTAGACTTCTTCTTTTTGATTTTTAAAAATTACTCTGGGTTTTTCCATTGTCTAGCCCTCAGACACTAACCTCTTTTTTGGTAGTCCATCTGTATCCCTTATACTTTTATTCACTCTAAATATTTGTACTTTATAATCAATATTAAAGAATTCCATTATTTGGGGTGCATGTGTGTGTGTGTTTCTCTTTTGCTTTTATTTTCCTTTTTTTTTCTGCATGATTTTCAATTTTGAGCATACCTTCTATATCCTATATGACCTAGGTTGAGAATAACTGCAGAAGTATTTCTTTAGCAACAATGATCATTAAAATCTGGGAAATAATTTTTTCTATGATAAAATGTACACTTAGCAGATTTTTTAATATGAAAAAGGTAATAGAGAAGATTATGTAGTTGAAAGGCAAGAGCTTTATTTCTTATCCACTAATATATATTTGGAGATTGAAAAATAAGAAACGTAAATCTTTTTAGAACTCCATTTCAATTTGTATCTTGGCTTCTAGGCTCTCCCTGTTTACAGTTTCTTCTTAGTGGTTGTATTAAGATTACAGCACACAGTCTTAACTTTACATGGTCTAGGTAGAATTAGTTGTACAACATAAGAAATCCTGTATGGATCAGGTCTATTTATCCCCTCCCCTACCCATTATTTTCAATAGTTGCCATAGGTCTTACATATCACATACATTATAAACATTGGAAGAAACTTGCAAACTTTGCTTTGAATGCTCATGCATACTGCAAGGAAATTAAC